TTGCCTCCCGAACTCTCGTCTTGCATCCGTTTTGTTTTGTTTTTGGTACAAATCTTGTATTCCTTGTTTGGAAGGTGGGACGAGGGTGGGAGACCAGTTTTTCCCCTTGGAGACCACTTTTCTTCTCACCAGCTAGTTTTCTGGTCGGGAAACTGGTTTTCTTGGTCTTTGGGCCACCTTTTCTGGTCTCCCACCACACCATTAGCTTGCTTTCAATGTGGAGACCACCATTTTTTCCTGCCGACCACTTTCTTTCCTGGGAGACCACTTGTTGTGGTCGGCCAACCACTGCAAATGGCTGGCTGACCACTTAAAGTGGTCGGCAGCTTTCCCCCTATTTTCGCAGACTGTGTGGATGCCAGTTGTGCCAGCTGGAGGGCACAGACTGTATCCTCCATATGTGTATGGAGGGATTGCATCCAAGTTTTAGCTTCTCTAAGAAGCTTTTCCTTTTTTTTTTCTATAAGAGAGAACCTTCCTCTCCATTCCAGAGGTTCTGAAATTTCCCTAAGGTATAAGTATATATCTCCCTCTATATCTCTATATTTGGTGCCTAAAGAGTGTGTTGTTCTCCACTTTTGCACCACAACTCTTAACCATACACCCCACCATTAAACTGAGGTTCTTGGAGGGCATTTTGGAGGTTAAAAAGTTGGTTCTTGGCTGAGAAATTTGCTGGTATTGCAGTGCTTCAAGGGTAACCTCTTTTCTCCATTTTAAGCTTTGTTTTGATCACTCTCTTGGCCATATTTGCATGCTTCTCTTGGCTTAAAATTGAACTACAAAAAGCTCTATTTTTCAGTCCTTATCATGTTTGTTTAAGGCCCTTTTGGTGTTGAGGGCCTTCTACCCTCTTGCATGCCTTGTTTAGTCTTGTTTTGTGCCATGCCTTAAGGCCTTTGGGTTGGACTTTGCTTGGTCTTTTAGCCACTAAAATCTACTGGATTTTCAGTGGTAGGCATGTGGTTTTGAGGTCTCAAATCAGAAGGGAGTGATCCCCTCTCTTCTTGTTTTGTTTGCTTGCATTTTTGGCCTATCAAAGGAGCATGCATCATCATACTTCCAAGGCTTGGTTCAGGCACTTTTTCATGACTTTTAGGGCCTTCCTTAGCTTTGTCTATGGCTGGTTTGGCCACCTTGTGTTTGCTTCTTGTATGTGTAGTGTATTCCCATTTGTGGCTCATCAAAGTAGCATGTCTTTCTAGCATGTATTAGCTCCATTTCAGTAGATTTTTTGCCATCATTTGACATGTCATGACTCTGTTTTTGGCTGGTTTGGTAGCCTCTTGCATGCTCCATATGCTTGTAGTGTAAATCTTGTTTACTAGCTTTGTATGCATGATGTTTTAGCTCATTATTCTAGCATATTTTGGCTATGCTCCAGCATGATTTTGTTCATATTTTGAGTTGTTCTAGCTCTTTTTTTAGGCTTCTTGATCGAATGATGCTTGTCATGCATGCTTGTAGTGTAATAGCCTTGACTAGCTTTGAATTTCAAGGCCTCTTGCATACTTAACTTGAGGTGTTTGCATGTTTTGGCATCATTGAGAATGATATTTCAGAGCATGTAGGGCTGTTATACTTCCATATTTTCCACTCCTTAAGTGCTCTTGAGGGTTGTGCCTTTATGCCCTATTTGTGAGCCATTACATGAGCCTCATTTTCGTGCCTTTCAAGCCATCATCTCAACCCATCTTTGCTACTGTTTTGGCCTGCATAGGGTCTGTTTGGGGTTGGTTTGGCCATTTGAGCATTGTCTTGCATACCTCTAGTGTACTACACTTCACTAGCTCCGACGCTTAAGCTTTTCAACATGCATTACATTGGTTGTTCGCATGATTCTAAGTCATTTTGCATGCCATTTCAATACTGGAGCATATGCCATTGTACTCCATGTTTCATCCTTTCAATGCCTTTGGAGAGTTGTATTTTGTGCATTAAGCTTGGGCCAATATGCATGCATGTTTGTATAGCATTTTGAGTTTCTATCTTAGCATGTATGGCCACTTATTTGGGCATGACTGAGGTCAGTCCATTTCGGTTTAAGTCTATTGAGCATTGTGTATGCCATGTGGTTCATTGCGTTATGTATGCCACGTCCATTTGCATTGTGTATGCTAGTTGTTGTTCACATTGATTGCATGCCTGTGTTGCCTTGCATTGAGTATGTATGCATGTGCATTGAGCATGCCATTAGCCTTGTTAGGTTGTTCATGTTGCATTGCATGTTTTCATGCTTGTCCCTTGCATCTTGTTCACATGCTTGTTTCATTGCATTGTATGTTTGCATGCTTGAGCCGCATTGTGTATGCCATGACATGTTATTTGTTGCATTGTGTTTGGAATAGGGGTTAGTCCAAACACGGAAAACGAGGGGCATTTCATACTCGAAGTGATGAAACATGCCTCAATTCTCGGTCGCTGACACTCTTGACTATACATGATGGAGTTTTAGGCTTTATGTGTTCGTGTGTGCATTCATTTTATAGTGAGTTGTGCAACTTGGGCTCCTCGGCCATCATGCATCGAGATGCGTGATTGGTGGCCCGAGGGTCGAGAACCATACTCCCTTGAGCTTATGTAATGATAGGGAGGGTGGTTGTGCATACATGTGTTGCAAATACTTTGCCATGCCCCATTTCTTGCTCTCTGTTGCATCAAACCAAAAACCAGCAGCAAAAACTGGTCGGTCGACCAGATAAAGTGGCTGGCCGACCACTTTTTCTGGTTTTTAGCATAAAAAGTGGTCGGCAGGTGGTCTCCAATGCCAACAGCTAGTCGGAAGCATCCCCACAGGTTCCCATGGTGGAGTTTCATCTTTCTAAAGCTTTGTGTAGTGTTCTGGGACCAGTTGCAAACAGAGGCAAATCGGGGCATCGCGATGGATTTTCGAGCGAGGCAATTCGAGCATGCATGCATCCCTTGTCACGAGGCCATTTCAGTACTTTTGTTAGCTTAGAATGTATATTCATTTCAATTTGATTGTGTAATATTTAATTAGCTAGAATAGTTAGTTAATTAGTCGGTTCTGTATTATTTTTTTGGACCCTCCGTCGAGAGGGCACAACTGTTGTAAATAAGTGTGCGTGTGTGTAATGCATGTCTTCCAACCCCCATTTCTTTCTCCCTTTTATTTACCAGCTTACGATGGTTAATTTTAGGGCATGTTTCAATTAGCATCCTTATGCTCGCATGTTTGCATCCATTCATCTGTCTTGCATGCACCGGGCTCGGCGCATCATACTAACTGCATTGTATTTCACATGACATTTTAGAATAGCCGAGCCTATCTTAGTTACATTTTGTATGTGTTGCATTAGGCATTCTTGACATATCTAGGATCATGCATTGATTTCTAACATGGCTTTTGTTTTGGCTTGGAGAACTCGGTAAGTGTTTATGCTTTAGCATCCTTGCATGCGTGTGAGTGACTGCCATGATAGCATGCTTGCCATGAGGCTAACTGCTTATGTTGCCAATTGAGGGTCGGCAAAAGTAATAACACTACAAGAAATAACACTTTTTCCGACCAAAAAATTGGTCGCTAAAAGCCCATTTTTAGTCCGCAAAAGTTATCCGCGACCAAGTTTTTTGGTCGCTACTTTGGTCGCCAATTGAGGGTCGGCAAAAGTAATTCGCGACCAAAATTTTGGTTGGTCAGGAAAAGTTGGATTTGCCGACTAAATTTTTGGTCGTTAAATATGTCATTACTGCGACTAATCCATTTTGTCGCTAAAACACTTTGGTCGCGAAAAGTGATATTTTTCCGACCAAATATCTTAGTCGCCAATTGTCACATTCCACGACCAAAAAGTTTGGTCGCCAATTATCACATTCAACGACCAAAAAGTTTGGTCGCCAATTATGACATTCCACGACCAAAAAATTGTGGTCGCCAATTGCACTTTTGCCGACTAAAAATTTGGTCGGCAAAAATCCATTTTTAGTCAGCAAAAGTTATTCGCGACCAATTTTTTTGGTCGCCACTTTAGTCGCCAATTGAGGGTCGGCAAAAGTAATTAGTGACCAAAACTTTTATTAGTCGGGAAAAATTTGGATTTGCCAACTAAATTTTTGATCGCTGAATATATCATTACTGCGACTAATCCATTTAGTCGCTAAAACACTTTAGTCGCGAAAAATGACATATTCCCGACCAAACATGTTAGTCGCTAATTGTCACATTTCGCGACCAAACATGTTAGTCGCCAATTGTGACATTCTACGACCAAACATGTTAGTCGCCAAAAGTCACAATCCACAACCAATAGATTAGTTGCCGAAAGTCACATTCCACGACCAAACATATTAGTCGCCAAAAGTAATGTTCGCGCGACTAAAAGTTTAGCCGGCAATAGACCTACTCGCGACCAAACTCTTTGGTTGTCAAAAGTTTACCGACTAATTATTTAGTCGCCAAATGCATCATTTTGCCTACCAACATTTTGGTCGGCGAAACCACAATTTGGTCACCAACATCCAACAAAATAAACCTGCAATTGAAGACAAATATTTCATCCAATCCATTCAATATAATCTGTAATTAAAAAGAATTATTCATACCAACAAAGTATCTGAATCATGAACATTCAACGAAATACATAAATCATCCAATCCTAAACCTGTTTAATAAAAGTAAACTATTATTTTAAGTTTACATCCACAAGTAATTCCAAAGTACATATTCCTACAATTTAAATTTTTATCCATGTGCATCTATCAAAAAATATAACTAGTTTACCCAAATATTTTCCATATACACCCATCCAAAAATATAACTACTAGTCTATCGAAATATTTTCCATACACATCTATCCAAAAATGTATAATACTTCCAAAAATGCTTGTAGCGCCAATTAGTCCTGTACTATTTAGCTTCATGCACGAGTTCATCCATCTGTACCAAAGAAAAAGAAAAAGAATGTCAAGAATTGAATAAGGTATATAATTTAGGTAAAACTTGTAAAGCTGAACTTACCTGATTAATGAACAAAGCAATTCTGTACAGCATGATATCGATGTTATTTTCATGAGCAATTTGCACATGCTCGCCAAGGATCCTAAACAAATCAACAGCAGCAGGTGTATATAGCCTCCCATCATCTGTTTTCTTTGGTGGTTGTACCTTTTCAGCTTCAAGGATATTCAAGTACCATTTCTAGAAAATAGTGACAGCAAATGGCACAGGAAAGACATGTGATTTGAGCAATGTTATATACCAAGTAACAAACCAATAAAGCTATCAAAAAAATTATGATTACCCTTGTTGTAGCTTGCATTCTTTCAACATATGCATTCATAAGGGGATCCATTGCACCACTCTTGGAACAAACTTGAGCTAAGGACTCATCAACACCACGGCTTACCAGATTATCTTGGTATTCAACCACCCAACCAGTCACCTAATTGAAATAGATAAGAAGAACCAATGTAATGAAATTACAACTAGTCAAGGCCACATATCACCACTGATTTATAAGAAAAACAACACTATAATTTTCACAACAATTGCTGCATATATCCAATATAGCGATCCCGGGTTTACCCTTGTTGTATAGTGATCCGGACATGTGTCCGTGGATGTTGGTAGTTGTTTATTATCTTGTTTACATCCTTTCTTACGTTGTATTTGAGTTATAGGATGTGTTGCATGAACTGTAGATTCTTGGCCACTCACTATAATAATTTAGGTTCAAAAAGTAAAAAAGTATAATAAGAACATAACCAAAATGTCGTGTGATCATTTGCAAAGTCACACCTTCTCAGGTAGGGATGTCACTCTTTGGTGATTTATCAATCTCGCATTGCACTTTGCAAGATTAGATTAAGAACCGTGACATTGAGTTTGAACTGTAGTGAGCCCAATGAACAAAATGGGATTTTCCAGGGACATTCGGGCGCATCTACAGTTTCTGGCGACTCTACTGGGGAATTTGGAGAACTTGACTCGAACTCATGATATCTTGTTTTGATTACACTTATGTGTTTCTTTGCATTGCATTTGCATTGGTGTGCCTAGGACACTGTGTTTGCCATCTGCTATTCCTGAACGGTTTGCCAGAGGCTCACTTTGAGAAGCGTACCATAACGCTGACCGGTTACGGGCTCTGCCACGATGGGAACACAAACCCGATTTTTACCGGGGCACCCTTTTTGACCATTCGACCTAGTGCATATTAGGAATCCATAGTGACTATTCCAAACTAGGACAAGTTGCTTACCCGAATATAGGTTGTTTGAAACCGCTATGTGCCTAGTGAAACCCTAGCTCCTGACAAAATAAGACAGGGAAACCCTACCCCTCCATAGGGGTGTTTTGGCTCTCACTTGCATGTTATGTTCTTTTAGAGTGCGTCCCTACAGGAATGCATGTATCAGTCTGGAAATCTAGGTATCAGGCCTGCGGGCATCAGTGTTTTAAGAATCAGTTATATCCGCAGGTATCAGATTCAGATTTGGGGCAGTGATTTGGGAACAGTGATCAGTGGTTGAGAACGGTTCATTCAGCATATGTTTACCAACTGTGTGTTGTCTTTATTTAAGTTGTTATGTTGTCCATTTTCCCGTTCATTATTTCCTTATTATGCTTTATTTATCTTCTTGCTAGGGTAGTTTAGCACAATTGCTTCCGACCAAGCAGATATTCCCAAGCACTCTAGACTAGAGGTCGTAGACTCCATCGATCTTAGGATCTAATAGACGGACAACCAGTGTTCCATTCTTTACCCCCGGTTGCTAGACGGAGGTCAGTAAGGCGCAGTGTATCGGTACCGCGGTTGCCAGATCAGTGGTCCTTGAGTAGTCAGGTTGAGATTTCTGAGTCTACTACAGAGACAGATATAACGGTGGTTCAGTTAGATCAGGGCAGTATGGCAAGAATGGAAGAGATGATGCGTCAGCTCCAAGAAAGTATGAAAACCATGTAGCAGGACGTTGCCCATCAAGCAGAATTTGCCAAACAACAGGCCGAAGTCATGGCCCAACAGGCAAAGTTAATTACCAGGCTACAGCAGCAAGCCGGAGCATCTGCTTCACACCAAGTTACTCCCCTACCAAGAGTTCCCATACTTGGGGAGACAATACACGTCCAGGATGATACGGACGTTCCAACAGGGCCGGCTCTGCTCCCGATCCTACCCCAACTACCCGAAGCACAGACCAACCTGCCGGATTCTCCCTTTGAGTTCGAGGTGGACCCCACGGCACTAAAAGTGAGCAAGCTTGAAAAGCTGTTCAAGAAATCTTAGGGTGTGAAGTCCATTCCGGACATTGAGGATGGGTACACCGACTCGACCGTGACTCTGTCGGACCGATTTAAAATGCCACACATAGACCGTTTCGATGGGTCTGGGGATCCCATGGTGCACCTACGGCTGTTTTTAGATATCTTAAGGCCAATAGGCCTCTCGAGATTGCAGAAGCTTTCCCTATTTGGCCGGACCCTGTCAGGTGTAGCGGCTATTTGGTATGCAAAACTAGAAGATTCCGTTAAGAGGAACTGGGAACAGATGGTTAAGGCCTTCGTGGCTCAATACTCTTACAATACACAGATCGAGATCACAACTCATGATCTCGAGACGACTAGACAGGAGCCAAAGGAGAGCTTTTCCGACTTCGTAACCCGCTGGAGGGCCAAAGCCTCAATGATGACCATTAGGCCGACTGACAAAGATCAAATACGGATGGTTGTGCACAACCTCCAGCCCAAGCTCATGCAGAAGATGATCGTCCTCCCTCTCCCCACTTTTGCTGATCTACATGAGATTGGGGTGCAGATTGAGGATGCCTTGAAGCAGGGTCTGATTGGCAATGATAGAGAGCAGCCTAGGAGGACTTTCAACCGCAGTACGAATCCAGGCACAAGCAGTGCTGCAGCTGCCAGAGCTTCAGATGTGAGCATGGTCACCGCCACCGCCCCAAGAACCCTTACGGCTACACCATTCACCGGCGCATCCGGAAGTAACTCACAAATAACCAAGTACCTACCTCGAGGCCAAAGAACCTTCACTCTACTATACATGCCCCTGTCCAAAGCTCTAGGGGTTTTAATCAAGAAAGGGCACTTGAAACCCCTGGAGCCGCGGCCATTGCCAGAAACACTTCCCTTCTCCCATAACCCAGCTAAATATTGTGCCTTTCACCAACAGCATGGTCATGACACCGACCATTGCTTTAGATTGCGTCACGAGATTCAAGATCTCGTTGACAACAGGGTGATTGTACCTCCAGAAAAATCGAATGTCACAACCAACCCTCTCCCGCTACATAACCAAGCTCCACCTCCCAAACGCATCAATCTGATCCAAACTAGGGTTGTGTCATACGACCCTAGCGTATACATCACCCCATCCCACCTACCCAAGCCGGAGGTGTTCATTCCTGATGGCACTGACTTGTGCATGTTGGACATCTCCTGAACCCAACCTGAACCAATAGTGGTGATTATTGAAGATAGGACAGGGATGATTTTGGAGGAAAGTGGGACTGTTGATTCAGGATTTGAGGAATTTGGGAGCTTTGCTGAGGAGGTATACAATCTGAATGGCTACATTACGTCAGTGGGCCAGGTTAGGCCGAATGTGGAATTGCCAGTGGGGGCAGAGATTTGTGTAGTACGGGAGGATGGACTTGATCAGAGGCTAGATGACTTAGCGGATCTGGAAGAGGACACTGCTAACCTTCAGTTTTTCAGTGAACAAGATCCAGGAGACATGACAGTCAACTGGTTTGATTTTGATGGGTCAGCAAAGGCTACAGGGTGGCTTGATGACCAACCAGATGTTGTTGAAGAATCTCAGCCAGAACAGGGCCTGTCAAGGACAAGGACATCAGCTGTGGCCGGAAGGGCCGGGAATCAGAATGCATCACCGGAGAGCGCCGGTGCCAAGAATTTCGCTCGGGATTTGGGCATTTTGAATACAGGAGATGTTGAAAAGCAGGCTGCACTGAAGCATTTTGAACAGGAAGGGATCGAAGATTCTGAGAGAGCTAGAAAGGCCAAGAACAGAGCATGCTATGAGCACATGGACGAAAGGTGCTGTGAGTACAGGGATAGTTGTAACAGAGCCGGACAGGTGTCTGTCGACTGCCGATGGCATGTGATGGGAAGACGATGACCTATGTCTTGCCCACACCGATGAGGACTGGAGGAATAACCAGCCGGATGATACCTGGTATATTAGCGAAGTTGACCATATGACTAGGAGCGGGAGGTACTTCAAAGCCCCACACCCAGATCAACCAAAGGCGTCCGGAAAGGACAAGAAGGAGGAGAAGCAGAAAGAAAAGCTACTCGAATAAGAGGCTGTGCTGAAATAGTTGAAAAGGATACGGGCAGACATCTCCATCTGGGGACTGCTTATGGCTTCACGAGTTCATAGACAATCTGTCCTATCTGCAATGGACAAGGCCAAACTCTCAATAGACACCACGCCTGAGCAACTGGTAGGATTGGTTTTTCCGGGAGGCGCTTCCCCGATGTTGACCTTTTTCGACAAGAAACTACCGCCCGAGGGCGCAGACCATAACAAACCACTCTATATCTCTATGGAATGTAGAGACAAGTGGATACCGATGGTTCTTGTTGACACAGGATCTGCCATTAACGTATGTCCACCAAGGACGGCATATGCAATCGGATTGAAGCCCTCAGACTTCGTACCTACTGCCCAGGTGATTTGGGCATATGACAACACTAGCAAAGAAGTGATGGGAACTGTGCAGATTCAGACTCAGGTTGGTCCAGGACAACATGATATTGACTTTCATGTCTTGGACGTTCCCGCACCCTTTCATTTACTCCTAGGGCGGCCGTGGCTGCACCAGGTGAAAGCAGTCTCTTCCACCTTGCACCAGATGTTGAAATACCCCCACGGGAAGGCGGTGGCTATTGTTTTTGGGAATTCGTCAATCCATCCGCTGCTAGAAGTGTCTACATCAGTTTTGGAAATCGAGCATGGCACAGAGGATGTGTTCCTATCGGGATTTACCCTAGCTGAGGCCCAGGTCGTACAGAACATCTTAGCCTTTGATGAGGGGTTGTACGTCAGCGCATAGTCAGTGTACCTCATGAACAAGCTCCAACACATCCCCGGGATGGGATTAGGGAAGAGTGGCCGAAAAGGCATTGCAGTATCGGCCGAAGTGCCGCACAACCCGCATACCTTTGGCTTGGGTTATCTGCCCACCAAAGAGGACTAGGTGAGGAAAGGCAAGGAGATGGCTGGGAGAGCCAGAGCAAAACAGGCAGGGAAGCCTTATGAGTTAATGCACCGACCCATCTAGGGTACTCTAAACGGATGCTTTGTCCGGGAATGGGAGGATTTTCCATTCTGCGGCTTCCCAGAACCATGGTTGAATGCAGAGAAGTGTCGCTTGCCAGGGTTTGAGATCTTCTTTGACTTGCAGTTATCCAGGGATGATGTTTCCGAGAAGCAGACAAACCCATCAGCTGAAGTTGAGCAGTGTAAGGAAGTGGATTCCGAGAGCACCGAGATTGAAATGGGGGTAGCATTAGCTTGCCTCCTTTCAGATCTGTAGACACCCCATTTTTGACCGACCTTAAGACTCAGACGTCACCGATTGAGCGCTTGGTGATGTTGCATAATGTGCTCGTTCAGAAGTTTCAGAGTCGCGGCCGTGAGCCCTACCTCCGGACTTCCGAACCCTCTTCTGTGCCTTGCCTCGGTTTGCGAACCAGACTCGATTTTCTCTGTTTCTTTTCCTGAGGGGAGGGAGAGGTCCCGTAGACCATCTCTCAGTGGCCGTGGGCTACATT